CAAAGTAAAGAACAAAAAAAAATGATTAATCGATTATTAAATTAGTCATCGACTATTTTAATAATCGATTAGTCGTCGATTAATCGTGGCAGCCCTAGTGTGCATGCATTGTGTACATTCTTGTGTTTGCGCATCTGTCTGTCTAAAATATATCATGAACCACTAGGTAGATTTTTCTTGAATTTTCAAAAAGTAAGCTAGGTTGATAGTTGACGCGTCACGCCAGGTACAAGGGAGCAATTGTGTCACTTATGGTGCATAAGTGACACAATTGTGCTGTCCCCGCCCCTGCTCGTTGGCCCTGCATGCTGTCCTGACGTGTGGTCATGCACTTCGAATTTTTGTAACTCCACAAAGGCTGCGCACGCCGCAATGTACATGACGGGTTTTCCTCAACTCTGAAGCTGATTCTCTTTTGGAGTCAAACGAATGCAAGATAGCTGCAACAGATGATCCAAATAAACCAGCACAAAAATGGCTATAATTCAGTCAGATTTACAGATATAAAGCTAAAATTATGGGGTAGTAGCTGAGAGGCCTGCACAATACATTGTGAGAGTGAGATCTCATATTATAACATGAGATAACYATTTACAAGATTTGGCCGAAACATTTTTAACTCTATCATTTATCAACATCAGATAATGTTATTTTAAAACTCTGACATTAAAGGAAGCTGGTAATAAGAATTCTTTAAAAGATTGTTAAATACATAGCTGTGCAGTGCCACATTATAAACTGGTTTTTATTTTTCTGTGGTAGAAATGACGACTCCGAGGTGAAGATTTCGCTCCAACCGAGTGAGAAAGGAACATTTATCACTTCAGGCCCCAAACAGGTAAAACCCAACTTCAAGACTCTGTGTTTGCAGTAAATGTCAGCATTTTTAAAATAAGTATTTGTTCTTTGTCGGGGAACAACAGGGCTGCTGTGTGGTGGAGCTGGAGCGCAGCGAGCGGGGCTTCGGCTTCAGTCTGAGAGGAGGGAAAGAATACAACATGGGTCTGTACATCCTGCGTCTGGCTGGGGATGGACCGGCTCTTAGAGATGGAAGGATACACGTAAGTTTCCTTTACTTATCCGAACTTTTGATTAACCACACTCTACCACATCTAAACCTTATTGTTCACAAAAACCCATTCTCCGTTGTAAAGTCTYTCTTTAATCGGTGTTTGTATGGGTGTCTCTTCATGAGGCGGCTGTGGCAGAGTGGTTAGGGGAGTAGTCCTGTGCTGGTTTGATCCCCCGTTCCATCTGTCTCAGTCGTTGTGTTCCTGGGTAAGACACTTCACCCACCATCAGAGGTTCCAGTGGTGCCGGTGCGTTGCAGCCCCACCTTTGTCAGTCTACCCCATTTTACCGTTTACCATGGCACTGTGTCCCTTAATTTTAGTGGGATCATCACATGGCTTGTCTGGTAGTCTGAATTTTTTGCAGCTCTTTTAATAAGTGTGCATGTAACTAAGGGCAGCYAGTTTGTTCGAAATTTTGCAGTATACCTACTCATTTCAGAGTACACCATCAAGCTCAGGCTGTATGCATTCATCTCCTGAAGCATATCTCTCTAGGAAGAGTTTGCAAGTTCTGCCTTGGCTCAGACATTCCACAGGCAGATGTCTGCTGTCAAAATCACTTGTGTGTAATACTTGACTCACATGGAACCACCACTGAGGTAGATCTAAAAGCACAATTGGAACCAAAAATGGTGACACAGTTGGCTGACCCTGAATCGATGAGAACTGCTGATACACACCCAAGAGACAAGGAGAACAAGCTAAAGAGATGCTGGAGCATTAGGTACTCAGACAGACTTTTTAACTACTCCCTGTCACGCTACAACTCTGTGGTGCACAAGGTCAACATGATGCGGGAAATTACATGAGCCAGGGTTGACATGAATAAAAGGGCTTAGACCCCTGTCGTAACTGCTTTTCAGTTTTAGTTTTTTTATATATATTTATAAGGTTCTACTAATCTTAAATAGCTAATTAAAATGAGCACAAAGTAATAGAGGATAAAACTGGCGCACACAGTCACACAAACAAACCCAAAGGTAATGTTTTGGGTAAGAATGATATGACGAGCTAGATCAGCACTTTGCATCTGTCATAGGCTGATCCACTGGCAGCCCATCGGCAACTGGGAAATCCCTGGTAGTGTTGTATACCAGTCCCCGGCCTCTACACATTTGCATGTGACCATTTTGTTTTGTTTGTCACAACAAAAGATCGAACACCAACAATAAATACATAACTCACAATTAATCAAGAATCTGAGAGAACAGGTGTGTTTTTAATAGAGTTTAAAAACAGGAAGTGACGAGGCCTGTCTAACGTTGGGGGGGGGGGGGGGGG